TTGTATTACATGTGTTGGTTTGCCACTTTTCATTGCTGCTGCATTGGTGGCTAAATCTTAATTTGTAGCCAATTCACAGAAGGAAGTTCTAATTTTGCTAATGAGATGTTAGGAGTCATTTGAGTTTTATTTTATTTTATTTATTTATTTATTTTGCTTCTTCAAAATGAGAATGACAGCTGTCAGCAATAATTTCCCCCAGATTATCTCTTGCAGAGAATCTAATTGCTTGTCACTGTGTGACATCCTGGTTTCAGGGAGTGGTAGAGCCTTGTGTTACTGCTTCCTGGATTTTGAGGTTGTCCTTGTTATTTGTTTTAATTGGTTTTTTTTTCTTTTCTAAGACAAAATCATTTAATATAAACAAACTATTAAGGCAAATTTTTTGGAGAAGCCAGTACAAGTCATTATGCAGCTGTCTGCAGAATCCAATGGTAATTAACAGCACAGCATTGAACATAGTTTTCATGTTAAATAGTAGTTCTCAGACCAGAGTTTGAGTCAGTAACTCTTGAATAAGTGTCCAGGTGATGCTGTTGGGGAACCACATTTTAATAATGGTTCAAGCTTATCCTGAGAAGTTCTATATCTGAATTGAAAATTTTCAGTGCCTAGTGAGCATTCTTAGATAGTCTGAGACACAGTGTCATACTGCTCTGGTTGCAAAAGAGTTTGGAGGGTCACTTTCTGTGAGTGCCATGTAGCATATCGGTAACAGAGATGAGGTGATTCTTTGGAAGTAATGGTATTGTGTAACCTACTAAGAGACAGAGTTGAAGTTATCCAGCATGCTAAGCAAGAGCCCCTGAAGTATGCGATGCTTTACCCTTGAATCTTTTTAGACTCATCTGCAAACCATAATATCTAGTATTGCCAGTAGTACACTCTTAGAATGTTTTTTAAAAATGACAAATTTGAGTCAGACCATGGTGCATGCCTGTAATCTCAGTGATTTGGGAGGCTGAGGCAGGACGAACACAAGTTTGAGGCTAACCTGGACAATTCAGCAAGATCATGTCAAAAAATAAAAAGGGCTGGGGTGTAGCTTAGTGGTAGAGTGCCTTCCTAGCATGCCCAAGGTCAGGAGTTTAATCCACAGTACTGCAGAGAAAACCTGACAGATTCCACAGTGTTTGCTTTCTGGCATCTAGAATGTAAGCTTTGTTGCATGGTGTCTGAGGATAGAATTCTGATGTAAAATTGGCCTCTATATCAAATGGGAATTTTAATTTTAGTCTTCAGTGGAGTCAAATAACATTTAGAGGTTAGGCAGGAAAATGGTATTTCATCAGCAAGCTTTCAGGAATGTAGCAGTACTCCCTCACACTCTTGATTGAGTGTCATGACTGTATTATAGCCATCTTGAATCTGCAGGAAAATAGAAATAGTGTTTCCTGCACATGTTGGTGTGAGGATCTTTTTGATGTCTGCACATGAACGGCCTTCCAGGAAAGTGTTCTCGGTATGGTTCACTGTGAAGGAGCACCCTACTGTGTGTTATCAGCCTTTCTGCCTGCCCAGTGCATCTCCTCTTACATTAAGATGAAAACTGTTGAGTTCCCATTCCATGTTTGATAAAATACTTGTATCAAATCATTCCAGAGTCAGTGCAGGCTCTTTGGCAGCAGTTTGGATGAGGGATGCTTGCTTGAAAGGTTTTAATGTTCCTTCCAAAGGGCAGTGATGGCACCACAGCGATGCTTGCTTGCAGCATGGCAGGAGGAGGTGGGAGGGTGCTGGGGAAGTTTACTTTGGTTGAGTTCCGCAGACGCCCAGCTACAGTTTTAGAGTCAGTTTCACAATTGCATGGCTCTTTCCAGAGCTGCAGTCTGCCAAGTCACACTAAGAGTTGGTTTCTGTGTTATTCCAGGGGCTGGGGCTGTGCATTTCTCCCCGAAGCCCAGACATGAAGTTGGAGTCACGGGGGAGACTGAGAAGTGCTATTAATAATTCACTGGAAAGGGGTTTCTGTCTAAAGTATCGAGAAAATAAACACCACAGGGTAGGATTAACTAAACTTTTTGAAAAGATATTTTGGTTATGTTACCTGAGAGTGAATTTTTATTTAAATCAGAGGTCCTATTTAACATTTATATGAACTATTACAGGACAAATAGCCTACATGTATATTGCTTGACAAAAGATATCACTCAGAAAAATTTTTTAAGCATTTCCACGGTGAGAGAAACTAGAGAAGCCCCCTTTCAAGGGTAGTCCGTAGTTGTATTTGTAGGAAAGTAGGTTTTTAGAACTCATTATTGAGGTCTCATGAACTTTAGAAGTAAAACAAACAAAAAGCAAGGTATGGTGATGCATGCCTGTGACCCCCAGTGACTTGGGAGTCTGAGGCAAGAGGATCTCAAGATTGAGGCCAGCCTCAGTAATTTAGCAAGACCTTGTCTCAAAAATAAAAAGGACTGGGGATGTAGCTCAGTGGTAAAGAACCCCTGGTTGCAGTTGCCAGTACAAAAAATATATATATATATAATTGCAGACTCAAGCTTGTGGTTTAACTTTGTATTATTCTCTCTTAAAACCAGGTGAGATAGTGCACAGGATACACAGGATTAATTCAAATGGCATTTTCAGTACGCTTTTTCTGAGAACATCTGTAGTAACTTCCTCAGTTCTGGTAGCCTTAATTTTCTTTAAAAAATCAATAGTAGCAAATGAGTTGGGAAGTGGTGCACTCATGTAATCCCCACTACCCAGGAGGCTGGGGCAGTAGGGTTTTAAGTTCAAGGCCAGCCTGGTCAACGTAGCAAGACCCTGTCTCAAAAAAACAAAAAATGCTGGGGATGTAGTTCAGTGGTGGAGCACCCCTGGGTTCAATCCCTATAAAGAAAAAAGAACAAAAAGTAGTAAATGAAATTTGTGTGTGTGTGTGTTGTTTTCTTTTTCTTCCTTTTAGTTTTGTGCTTTAAAATTATTTTTGAAATGTTGATGAACTTTTATTCATTTGTATGTGGTGCTGAGAAGTGAACCCAGTGCCTCACACATGCCAGGCAAGTGCTCTACCACTGAGACATAACCCAGCCCCTAGTTTTGTGCTTTTTTAAAAACTTTAAATTATACCCTGAGTTATTTGTGTGTTGTTGAGGTTTTCATAGTTGTTTTCCTTTTTTCATAGTTTTTTGATTATTTATTATGTTGAAAATTTAAACTGCACCTTACCGACCTTGCATATTATGGAAGTTGATTTTGATTATTTGTGTATTGAATAGCATAACAATGAATACCTTGTTGGTTAAACATTTATTCTTCTCTTGAAATCAGGGTAAATTTAAAAAATTATTTTTAGGTACTAGATAAGTTTCATTAACTTTGTGTGTATGTGGTGCTGGGGACCAGACCAGGGCCTCACGCATGCTGTGGAAGTGCCCTACCACTGAGCCTTCATTATATGATGTTTAAAATAAATTTTTTAAATTTATTTTTTCTTTGTTTTTAGTTTTAGAATTTGGGAACTATCTTTAAATTTGCTAATTGAAGAATTGGAAATTATATGAAGCATAAAATTATTGAGCCTCCTAACTTAGGCATAACTTCCCAGGTCCTGGTGGGCTGTAATAATGACAGCTGCATATCTCATTGAGAACCTTCTCTGTTAGGTACTTTATGTATCTTATTGTTTTCTGACATTGTAAATAGTGTTGATTAAATTGGACAAAACAGCTTACAAAAGCAGAATAGTACACTTTAGCTTAAATTAGTGAACTAAAAATAAATTTGGTTTCTTGGCCATGAGATTTGGTTTATTAAATTATAGGCCATAGAAGCTCTCAAACCACGAACTACTATGACAATTTTTTTTCTGATATCAACAGAAGAGTGTTGTTCATGCTGTTGGTTCCATTTGTAAACTAGATCATACCCTGCTTGGCTTTTGAATGCCTGGTATAATGTGCCTTAATTGCAGCGCAGTGAAGCCAGACTAATTGCTGTTGGGCACTTGGGTTGCCTTTTTAATTTGCTGTATAATGTAGTCTCTACCAGAAACACACAATGTATGGTTATTCAAGTAAAACTTGTGAAAATCATCTCACATACAACCAAATGTCCATAATCTTGCAAATAGAGAAATTGAATGATATTATAGAAAGTTGTAATTAACAAGTATTCTTTTTAAAGTGCCTTTGTATCCATTTTGGAAGATATACATAAACAGACTGCTATGGTTTGTATTACTATGATAGTTTTCTTTACAAGAATTGTTTTGCTTTGAACTTTTATTATGTTTTAAATGATAATAATGATGCGGGCTTTTGAGACGTTCACTTACTTCAGACTCTGCGGTTTACCCAGAGAAGATTAATATGTATCCAATGACTTTTGCATTTCATTAAAAGAGAAAAAGAAAAGAAATTGATGCTATCATTCTGTTCTCAGCTCACAAACACCATTTATGAGTGTTGCCTTTATAATTTGTAGGAACAGGTATTCATGAGTTGGTAAGATGTTTTATATTTGTTTTCTTGCTGTTTCTCTGAACTAACAAGGCAGCTCTGTACAGAGCTTTCTTTTAGCCTTTTGTTGACTAATTTCACTCATTTAAACTGATACTTACTGACAACAGAGGGCCAGAAACTGTTGTAGGTTTGGGATACTGCAGTTCATTGGTGTTTTTCCTACTTATTTATTTTTAGCACTGGGAATTGAACCTAGGGGTGCCTTACTGCTGAGCTGCATGCCAAGCCCTTTTTATTTTTTACTTTAGACAGGGTCTCGCTAAGTTGCTGAGGCTGCCCTGCAACTTGAGATCTCCCTGCCTCAGCCTCTCGGGTCAGTGGGATTACAGGCATGCCCCACTGCACCTGGCTTGTTTGTCCTATTTATGATAAATGGTAAGAGAGAATCTCTGAATTGAATTTTAAGGTTCTAAAAATTATTTTAGAAATAGAACAATATATTCAAGGGCTTCTACTAAGACATTTAATAGATGCCTCTATGCTTTTTCTTAAGAAATTAGTTCATTATCTATTTTTATCTTCTCTTTATAGATTGTTTCTTATGAGGGTCATGGATATCCCCTATCTAAACCTGGAAGGACCAGACTGTGAGTTAATTTTAATTTTCTCATTGTTTCTGTGCACTTAGGTGTGTGGTCTGAAGGAGGAACAGGAAATATATTACTGAAGGAAGAGCTTTTTTCGCTTAAACATGGGCAGTGATTTTGTGGTTGATATGAATAGTATGCTTAAGTTAATGGGACCCTGGGGGTCATTTCTTATTTACATTTTTTAGTTTATGCATGAGTTGATTTTTTTTTTAAAAAAATCTTTGCTTCATTATTTCATTTTCCCTTAGAATTCTAGTTTTGTCATTTCTTATAAATATTTATAATAGATTTTAAGTTATGCTATCTGTGTCAGTAACTTTTAAAATTTCTGTTTTCCAATTACTTGAGTAGGTATATGTTTAAATGTAGTGGGTTAATGGGGTAGGTGGCCTGTTAAAAGCTGTTATAAAGACTTGAGGGTGTAGCTTAGTGTGTGTGACACCCTGGGTTCCATCCCCTGCACCAGGAAAAAAAAAAAAAAAAGAAATTAAAAAAACACCTCAAAAATCCAATCTGGTTGAAGGGGTAATTGCTGCTACTTTTCTTCTGCTTTTCTCTTTTATTCTATTTGCCCTTTTTTTTTTGAACCTAAGAGCATTTTACCACCAACCTACATCTCCAGTCCTTTTTTTTTTTTTTTTTTTTAATTTTCAATTTTGAAACAGGACCCCTCTAAGTTGCTGAGTGTCTCACTAAGTTGCTGAAGCTGGCTTTGAACTTTAGATTCTCCTGCGTCAAAATCATTGGGGTTATAGGTGCATGCCACTGTACCAGCCCATTGCTTTTTTTCCTAGTCTTTATTTGCTTCAATTCATGGATGAATGTACTTGGTGCTAATATTGTTGTGATGATATTTCATCACTCTGCCATTGTGCTGACCTCCACATTAGCCTGCTAGTCTCACAGCAGTTCTGTAAGCTAAATTTCATCACCCTGGTTCATAGCCAGGAGTGGCCAGAGTGCACAGGTGAAGTGATGGGTCTGGGATGAGAACAGAGTGTCCTGTCTCAACACTGCCTCTGCTTAAAAGTGATCAGTTTATTTAGTTGGGACAGTACATTATTATTTTTAAAAAACTAAATGAACATGTGGACAGCTAGATTAAAAGGAGGAAGTTAAAAGTATGGGGAAACTTCTAGAACAGAGTTGCCTTTCCTCCCCTTTCCAATATCTCCACAAGAACTTCTTGAAAAAAGGAGATAGTTCTGCATAGAGTTGGTCATCAAATTGTAGTGGGCTGTATTGGTCTAGCTTGTGACAGCAGAGTCCTGCCAAAGCTAAGCATACTTTAGGAGTTATTTGGAAATCATGAGGCATCATGATTTATTCATCAGAGAATCCCTGGTTTACTTGATCACTTTTCAACTATCAATCTTTAATCATGTATTTGTCTTGTAGTACAACCTAAACGCGATCATGTTCTCCATGTGACGTTCCCCAAAGAATGGAAAACCAGTGACCTTTACCAGCTTTTCAGTGCCTTTGGTAAGTGAAACACAGTGCAGATGCACGTCTTAGGATCTTGCTATTCTTTCGGTGTAGGTGGTCAGAGGTAGATAGATAGTTTTGTCTTGGGCATGAAAGAATGTAAATTCACAAGGTTTTAATTTCACTCATGGAAATTTTTTTGGGCTAATATGATCTGAGGAGCTAATATGTTGTGCTGATATTAATCTGATATGATATGAGAGATTAATATGTGCAGATATGATTGTGGATTAATAGGATTCACTTTCCAGTAGGATCTACAAGACACCATTTTTATGACTGCCAGTACTACTGACCAGCGAACACAAATATAGGTAGAGAGTAAATAATTCTGAAGATTAAATTCAGAGAGAATGTTTGTTTCATAAGGTCAGGCAGTCTCTGTTTGAGATTATAATTAAAGCAACCAAATCAGAAAGATGCCTTTCACATATTTTTCAAAAATAAGGTATGTAGAGTTTTAAGGTTTTCTTATTTGTTTTTACTTATAAGAGGTAATATATGCTTGCTTTAGAAAGTACAGAAAAACATAGAAGGAAAAATAAAGCATTCAGTGATGATCACATGGTGGTATCAAGATTTCCATACATAGTTTTTTAAAAATAGTGTCAGCTGTACAGGAATTCTAATTTGGTTGCCTGAGCTGACCAAGATATGGGTTATCTCTGAAGGAGGGCAGGTCTTTCCTTTTTACCAGGTCATGTGATTAAGTTAATTCGAGTAGTCTTCTGGTTAGAGTTTGTAAAGACTGTTCTGATTGTAAGCCATGCCTCTTTATCTTAAGAAGTTATTTAAGCTATCATCCTCTATGGAAATTGTAGATAAGGGCTGGGGTTGTGGCTCAGTGGTAGAGTGCTCGCCTACCATGCACAAGGCACTGGGTTCAATCCTCAGCCACATAAATGTAAAATAAAGATATGGTGTCCACCTAAAACTAAAAAAATAAATATTTAGAAAAAAAATCTTAGATAAAATGAGAGCTGCAAAAAGCTAAAGTAAGTAAGACTGGTAACTGTTGATGCATTTCCTCCAGGATAGTATGCAGACATTTAAAATATATTTTTCAAATATTAAAGACGGTAAGTTGTTTACATTTTAATCCTTAGAGTAAAAAGCTATACAAAATAGAATTCCTGTATAGCTGACACTATTTTTAAAAAAAACTGTGTATAGAAATCTTTTTTTTTTTTTAAGAGAGAGAGTGAGAGACAGAGAGAGAGAGAGAGAGTGTGTAAAGAGAGAATTTTTTAAATATTTATTTATTTATTTATTTAGTTATCGGCGGGCACAACATCTTTGTTTGTATGTGGTGCTGAGGATCGAACCCGGGCCACATGCATACCAGGCGAGCGTGCTACTGCTTGAGCCACATCCCCAGCCCTAGAAATCTTGATAACACCATGTGATCACCACTGAACACTTTATTTTTCCTTCTATGCTTTTCTGTATTTTCTAAAGCAAGCATATATTACCTCTCTCTCTCTCTCTCTCTTTTTTTTTTTAGTTGTAGTTGCACACAATACCTTTATTTGTATGTGGTGCTGAGGATTGAACCCAGGGCCTTGCACATGTTAGGTGAGCGCTCTACCACTGAGCCACAATCCCAGCCCCATATTACCTCTCATAAGTAAAAACAAATAAGAAAACTTTAAAACTTTACATACTTTATTTTTTGAAAAATATGTGAAAGCATCTTTTCTGGAAAATTATCCTGCTCTTTGAAGGTAGTCTAGATATTCTCTGAAATCCTAGTTGCCTTTTAATTTAAATACAGATTAAAAGTGCAGTTGAATTTCAAGGCTCATTTATTTTGGAAGCTTTTGTTGATTCACATCTCAAGTTCTTATTTCTATGTTGTGAAACTTTAATTGACTAAATTAAGTAAAATGCTCCAAGTAGGATTTTTTTCAGTTTAATTAAAAAAAAAAAATTTGCTGTGTGACTTTGGACAAGTACTCTTTGTTTTCTCATTGGAGATGATGATGATGATGAAATAATAATAATAATAATAATAATAATAATAATAATAATAATAATAATAATAGGGACTGGGGTTGTGGCTCAGTGGTAGAGAGCTCGCCTCGCACGTGAGAGACCCTGGGTTCGATCCTCAGCACCACATAAAAATAAATAAAACAAAATAAAGATAAAAAAAATTGTTTAAAAAAATAATAATAATGCCTTTTTCATTGGCATGTCACTGGGATCAAATGAGCTAATCATTAGAAGGCATTTACAACAGGTGTGGCATATAGTAACTACTGTGTTAGTCAGCCTTGCATCACTGTGACCAAAATACCCAACAAAGAACAACTGAGAAATAGAAAAGTTTACTTGGGGTTCATGGATTCAGAGATCTCAGTCCATAGTTGGCTGACTCCATGGTTCTGTGCCCAGGGTGAGGCAGCAGATCATGGAGGAAGTGCAGGAAAGCTGCTCAGCTCATGTGGGATCAGGAAACAGAGAGAGGAGGAGGCAGGGGCTCAGGGAAGAATAACCCTTCCAGGGCACCCCACCAGCGACCCACCTCCTCTGGCCATGTCCAGCCTGCAGTCCATTCAGACTAGGATGGACTCATTAAGTTGCAGCTGTCACAATCCAGTCACTTTACCTCCGGACATTCCTTCATTAACACAGAGGAGCTTTGGGGCAACACCTCACATCCAAACCATGTGAGTTCACTCAATAGAAGTTCACTGTTGTTACCAGTGTAAAGATAACACACACACTGTAGAGAGTAACCAAATAACAACACCTGTTTCTTTTTTTTTTTTTTTTTCTTCTAATTGCTCAAGTCAGTGTTGTGCCTTACTCTTTGGCTAAAAGTGAGGTTTTGGGGTTTTTTGTTTTCTTTCTTTTGGTGGTTAAAACAAAACACTTTTTAAGAGTTCCTAGCTGTCAGAAAAAAAAAATTTTGCCTTTATTTAATTTATTTATTTGTTTCTGGTGCTGAAGATCAATCCGATCCCAGTGCCTCACACATGCTAGGCAAGTGCTCTGCCACTGAGCTATAACCTCAGCCCCTATCAGAAATTTTAGTAGGAATGAAAACATGTTTCCATTGCTAGAGTTTGGTGACTTCACCCATTTTGTAAAGTCCAGTCCTCTGCATTTTTTTCAAGAGCACTGTATGGAGCCGTCAGGTCTCTGCCTTTTCCTTCTATTTTCTCCAGCCGCCTGGACCCTGCTCTTCTGCTCCCCTCTCCTCCATTCTGTCCTGTTGTGTGTGGCCTTTTTTATTTGCCTCTCAGCCTGTATGTGTCACTCAAGGTAGCTCTTTGCTTCTGCTTTTCCCTCTGTTGGTCTGACTTAGCTTTTTCTCTTAGGCTCCTTATTTATTTTGGCCTCCATTCTGTCTCTTATTCTTTTCAATATTGATTTTTTTCTTATTACTGTGATGTGTTTTGACTCATTTTTATGTTTCCTGTTCTTCAGTTTCAAAGTTTATGTCTACATTAGTCTGTTTTCTGTTTGCCAGTAACACAGTAGACAGGTGAGTTTTAAATAAAGGAGGTTTGTTTTGGTCAGGGTGTTGGAGTTACAAGGTCAAGGGCCCACATCTGGTGATGGCCTTCTTACTGACAGAATTCTGAAGCATTGTAGGGCGTCACAGGCAAGGGACAGGTGAGTATGTGTGTGTGTGTCTTCATCTGATCATGAAGCCACTGAATTCCTTCATGGGGGCTTCATCCTTAATGGCTGCATCTAATTCTAATCACTTCTCAAAGTCCCCATCTAAACACCAAAGTCAGATTATGTTTCAACCCCTCTCTTTTCTCTCTTTTTTTTTTTTTTTTTTTTTTTGGTGCTGGGGCTATAACCCCGGACCTCACGCATGCTAGGCAAGCAATCTACTAATGTACTAATGAACTATAGCGCCCCCCCCCCCCCCCCCCTTTTTTTTTTTTTTAAATTTTAGACTATTTCACAGAATTGCTCAGACTGGCCTCAAATTGTGATCCTCCTGTTTCAGCTTCCCAAATCACTAGGATTACAAATTTCCACCCTCTTAATAGTGGGGATTAAACTTGAGCATGAGTTTAGCAAGGAGGACACCCACAGTGTTCAAACCATAGCAATCTCGAGAAAGAAACAGATATGGTTTTGAACATGGATTATCTATGAGTTCTGTTAGTGATCTTGAGAGGGAAAAAGGCTTCCAACCATGGACTAAATGATGACGTGTCCTAGGAGTCAATCCAGACGGATCTTTCTTTTCCTTTTAAAAGAAATTTCTAAAAGCTGCTTATTTCTCTTAAAATTTTAACAGAAAAACTACTGTAGTGGATTGATGTTTTAAGCAGGCTAACTCTGTAGTGCTGAGATTTTTAAAAACAATCTTTTTAAAATTTATTTTTATTCATTTATTTTTATGTGGGGCTGAGGATCAAACCCAGGTGAACCCAGGGCCTCACACGTGTGAGGCAGGTGCTCTACCACTGAGCTACAACCCCAGCCCCCTGGAATTTTTGATGAAAGTTTTTTTTAAATCTAGTTTTAACAACATCTCTCTATAAACATCAGATCTACAAAGTATATCTGAGAGTTCTCTAAATGGTGAAGTTCTCACTTTACTTTCAATTTAATGTTAACAGGTAGCATTCAGATATCCTGGATTGATGACACATCAGCTTTCGTCTCTCTCAGTCAGCCTGAACAGGTGCCCATTGGTGAGTGTTTGGGCATCTGTTTTGTTTATGAAGTAAAGTGTGAGTGCACCCTCAATTGAAAAGCTATTGAGTAAGATGTTGAAAAAATATTTGTCATTCAGCTACGTGGTCAAATAGATTTCAAGCTTCGTAATTTAAAAGGTGTGAAAATTTTAAGTGATATTTCTTTATTTAACAAAGTGTTTAATAATCTAAAAGGTGAGTACGTTTTTAAGTGAGATGCCTGTTTCTTTTCTTTAACAAAGAGCCATACATTAAGATTATATAATTTTGATAATGTAACTCTTGAGTAATTATGTATGAACACTTCTATGAACATACAAATTTGGATGAGAATATTTTTGTTTGGCTATTGACCATCTCATGAGCACAGCCTGTGTTGTAGAGGTGAGAAGCATATGCTCTGGAATCACACTGCTTCACCACCTCTAATTGTGTGACCTTGGGCATGTTACTTAACCTTGATAAACTTGTGCTTATCTCTGTGAACTGAGGTCAATAGTATAGTCTTGTTAGAGTCATTATGAGGATTACATGAGATTATTTGTATAAAGCTTGGCACAGTTTTGAGGCTTTATTATAGTTTTTTATTTTTATTTATTTATTTTTTATTATTATAGTTTTTAAATAGCAGATTTCATGGTGAGATTTATTTCAGGAACACGTGGCACCTGAAGATAGTGTTGGATGCAGGGTGTGAATAGTGTTACTTGTTAAATGTTTTGATTTTTTGCTTAGATGTGTTTCTGTGATTTGTGCCGCCACTGTCTTTAGAAAGATGGTTTAGAGAGAACCCAGTGCAAAGGGATCAACTTATTAGAAAGCTAAAGATGCCTTCAAATGATGGGCAGATACCCCAAGACAAGGGTTGTAGTGAGCTTCAGGGTGGTTGAAAGAGAACTGAGCTTGGACTCCTGGACCTGAAGCCTGTTCCCACCTCCTCTGCTCAGTGTCTGTGCTCCAGCTCCTTTGCTGGTCACACTCCGGTGACACTGAAGCCATGCAGTAGGGAGGGAAGGAGATGTGTAGACTTTGGGATCTGACCTGGGGACCAGTTGCTTGTCTGTATGTAATCTGGTGGAAGTTACGGAAATCCCTAAGCCTTAGATTCTGTACCTGTAAGTGCTGCGGGGGGCGGGGGGGCGGGCGGAGTAGTTCCTTTGCAGGATAGGTGTGAGGGTGAAATGAGATCATGATGTTAAGCTCCTGGCAAAGAGCCTGGTATTCCACCTTAGTGCCTGACAAATGGTGGGTGATTATTAGAATATCTGCTTGGCTTTCCTTCTGTGAACAGTAAAGATGAGACTGCAAAAATACTTTGGAATCTGTATTTATTTGAAAATCTAAGCATGATTCCTTATTTAGGTGTTAGAATGTCAGGGTTCCTTTTCATTTTCCTGTTATACCATATTTACTGAATAATGGTGGCTCCCTTACTTATTATTGGAAAAGTCTTCGAACAGTAGTTTTTAAGCTAAGTATTTTATTCAGTGATAACTTATGTCAGGGAGCTACACATCAGAATCATGCAAGCCACCGGAGCACTCTATTGTATTTGACTGTTTGCTTGGTTGTGTGTTGCCTCTCTGCAGACAGCATAGCGTCCTTCTTGTTCAAGCTGTGGCACAAGTAATAAACGTGTTTAAATGTGCAGTGTCGAGAATGGGCCCAGATGAAATTGGGACCTTTTACCTCTTTTATTACTAGATTAAGAAGTGGATGACTGTTATCTTTTGCTATATTCAGATTGCTATCGAAGTTTAATTTTCTACTACGTCTCTTTTCCTGCACAAAAGACAACTCTTAACAGAGTGCCTGGCAATTTGCACATGCTGTGCCGTAGACCATAGTTTGCTTTGACAGAGACATCTTTTACTCAGTCCTGGCTTCCTACAGCACAGGACTGTGCCCTGTTTCCTGCACTTGTCTCAAGTTAAATATCATTTCTTCTGGATGTTTTCTCTGTGCCTTTGTAGGGGTCAGACCCCATTCCATCTGCTTGCATAGCATTCTTTCTACCTTATTTCATCATTTTTAACAGATGGAGCAGGGACCATATCTCTTAGAACTCACCATTGTGTTTGCAGTGCTTAAAGCAATTATATCTCGCATTAGTAAGTAAATATGCAATATTTATTGATACAAATAAGTGATATTTGTGGAATTATGATTTAGAAATGCTTTTGAGGGGTAAATCTAATGTCCCTGGTGTTTTGCTGTGATTTTTGAAACTATGCAGATATTTTATTGAAAGTGTGAAATTTGTTTTTCATAGTGATAATTCTGATGATGAGAGGGACCCAGGGTACCTAATATGCTGCAAATCCTATTAATGTTATCTTAAACAAATTACTTACTCATTTCAACGGAAACCGAGGACTGTTAGATCAATAATGGAACATTGAAAAAAATCATTAAGTGCCTATTTATATAGCAGTTCATAATGGCTTCTTTGGCTCTGATACAAACTATTTTTTATTTGTATTCAAGGAGTTCCTTTGTAACTGACACCTGTCTTTTTTTCTTGGCATTACTAATTCTAATCAAGACTTCTAACGCCATTTTCCAACTTCTTGAATATGAAAGGTCTCTTCTTATAGGAAACCTTACTATTGAACTATTTAAAACCCTTCTGTTGAACACCGTTTGGTTTGATTCCTGTTGCTTTTTTGTTTGCTGCAGCTGGGAGATAAAGATTCCTGGCTTTGGGGTGTTCAGATAAATGATGCCCCACACACAAGCCTTGTGCTGAGCTTTCTTCCCCTTTGGCTGATCAGATGGTGCAGTGTGTGGCCAGTGTGGGACTCAGTACACGGAGAAGATCACTGATCCTCACCATTTGAGAATTGCTCTCAAAGTCATCAAGAAATCACCCATAATGGCTGAAAGCTTGTTCATATAGGATTTTTATATTTCTAATGTAGTTTGTTCAGTGAGAGAAGAGCCCAGTGGTATTTCAAATATCATACCTTCTTATCTTACTCAGTATTTGGACATAGTTTTGAGTGCCCTTTAGAGGACATTACCTCTCCCTATAATTTTTATAGGAATGGCTTGAGAAAAATAAGGCTTTTGGTTCATTTTGAGATTAGAGCACACTGTGAATACTACATGAAATTTTTTTAAAAACAGAAATAGATAAAGGCACTTTAGAAGAGGTAGGAATTCAACAGTTATTTTGTAAAGCATGCCCAAATTGAGATAGCTGTGTAAATTCCCAATGTGCTGACTTAGGAGTGCATTGAGGTTGATTTGCTGTGGTAGGGGAAGATCTCAGGTTCACATCAGTTCTAAGTATGAGTGCGCTTATATTAAATCAGACTTTCAAAAGCACAGCTTTTGATTGTGCCAAATAGATAACTATCAGAGTTGTGGATACAACTCTTTCAAGGTGATCATTCAGCACTGAATTTGTGAAAAGGCTGCTTATAACCTTAAACTTTACCTGTGCATTTACTTATTCTTGTAATGTTTGCAAAATCTGTAGTCATAAATGCTTTTCATTTGTGATATTGGTAATTTGTGTTTCGTTTTTCCTGGATTATTCTAGCTAGGGACCAATTTCGTTGATCTTTTCAAAGAGCCAGTTTTGGCTCAGTTTGCTTTGGGCAATTTTGTTGGTTTCTGCTCTTTTGAAGATTTCCTTCTTTTTCTTCCTTTGGGTTTACTTGGCTTTCTTTTTCCAATTTCTTGAGTTAGAGCCGTATGTGACTGTTTTCTTTCTTTTTTTTTTTTTTTTTTTTGTTGTTGTTCTTTTTCCTGAATTCTTCTGACATATTTTAAGCCTGACTTCCTACAAGTTATCCTTAAGTCAGAAAAGTTTAGTGGTTAGCTAATAATTTCTCAGGAGTTACACTTAAACACTGAGACAGTAAGGCTTTCACCATCTGCTAGGTGGGTGAGGAAACATGAAATGTGCAAGCAGTTCACAGATCAGCCCCAGTTTTTCCTTTTGGCCCTGTCTTCTCTGGGTGCATAGAGCCTCACACTCAGACAGTAGTGTGCACATAGCTGAGACTCTTTGTCATTGACTTGACCTTTTTTTTTCCATAATGAAAATATTTAAAGCTATAAATTGTCTTCTGAGTGCTGCTTTGGCTGTATCCCACAAATTATATTTGTCTTTTCATTATCATTAGGTTAAAAAAAGTTTTCTAATTTTCATTTGACCTTTGATAAGTAATCAAATATATGGTTTCATTTCCAAATGATTAGGATGTCCTTGATTTCTTATTGCTACTAATGTATAATTTAATTCTGTTTTGATTAGAAATTGCAGTGATTTCAGCCTTCTTGAGTTTTATAGCCAAGTGTAGCCAAGTTTAAGGTATAACTTGCTGAAAATACTTCGGTGTACCAGGAAAGAATGAATTCTCTAGTATGTGGTTTGATCCCTACACCTCAATTAGTGTTGTTTCTATATTCTATGTCCTTACTAATTTTTTACTTAACTATTCTATCAAGTTTTGAGATGGAGTGTTAAAATCTCCTGTGATTATAGAATTCTCTACTTTCCTTTTAAATTTTTTCAGTTTTCATACAGTATATTTTGAAGCTATTACCAAGTGCATGCATCCTGTTGTTTTATCTTGGTGATGAATTGACCCTTTTATTGTTATGAAATGTCCCTTTGTCTTTGGTAATACTACTAATTTTAAGTGGTCCTTATCAGATATTAATATAATCATTCCATATTTTAAATACTTTTTGTGTTTGCCTAATATATCCTTTCTTCACATACTCTCTGACCTCTGTGTGTGTTTTCATTATAAAGTGTATAGTTTAGTCTTCCTTTTTTATCCTTTCTGATAATTCTGATTTGTAATTGTTGTGTTTAGTCTAATTTAATGTCATTATTGATCTAGTTAAACCTGTTTTTTTGTTGTTGTTGTTTTTCTTGGTGATGCTGGGGATTGAACCCAGGGCCTTGTGCATGCAAGGCAAGCACTCAACTGAGCTATATCCCCAGCCCTAGACCTATTATTTTTAAATCTGTTTTT